TGACATTTTTCTCAGTTCTGCTTTTCTGAAACTCATCCGTGCTTCATTACAGCTTCATCTTCCAGCCCAGTCGTTGTTACTCAGAGAGTCACAAGCTCGTGGGGGCTGAATGGGAGAACTTACTACAGATACAGAACAACAATCACCAACAATTCCTCCAAAAACTTGAGGAACTTGAAGCTCTACATTTCCAACCTGTATGGTCCTCTGTGGGGCCTCACCAAGTCCGGAAACTCTTACTTGTTCCCATGGTGGGTCAACTATTTGCCCGCTGGTAAAAGCATCGATTTTGTGTACATCCACTCGGCCTCACCTGCAAAGGTTTGGGTTACGAGCTACAATCTCGTTTAAAATGGCAAAACGAAGATATTTTTGTCATTATTCACTCCGGATTCAGGCATTGTGCAGCTACACACACGCATTACATTCCAGGACGTGTCTCTGTCTAAAAGTTTTTCTTTTATGCTTTAATTCCATGTTTGATTTGTGAAACGAGTTTAGGATGAATTTAGGGTAAATGAGGTCGAGAAAGGATGGAGAAAGGAGTGAAGAGACGATTTGGAAACTAAAGTGCTCATCCTCTTTCTCCTCCTTTTCACCTGCTGAATATTAGGTTCATAGAGTGAGAGAACGGTCGGATGGAGGACGAGAAAAGTCGAGAAGACATCTCAACATTATTTATTACTCTTTTTTTTTGTGCTTGACCAGAGTGTTTTCGTGTTCGACGTTGTAGCCTTTACAACATATTTTATTTTCGTGTTCGACGTTGTAGCCTTTACAACATATTTTATTTCCAATATGAATATAGTTTGTGTGAAGATGTTTGGATTCAAGCAACATTTTGTTTTCTTGCATCAAAATTTGATTCTCAGAGTTACTTTTTCGTATTTTCTCGCCAGCAAATTTGTGACTTGGTGTTTTTGTCTTTGTGATTGAGGATGTGCAACAAATTTGTTTGTTTCGTTTTTGTTTCTCTACTTTCCAGTCTGAGGCTGTAACATTTACAAGATTTTGCACTCATTTTTCCCAAGGATTGGACACAATTTGTAATGATATGCACTAACAGTTAAGCTAATCAATTACATTAGATTTATTGAATAAGAATACGTTATTTATAATGTTTTTAAAATACATTATTTGTGTATTAAAAACAATGTATATTTATTCAAAGAGCATGAACTCTAACTGATAACAATTGATATTTCTATTATTCTTGCTTGTCCTTTTCTTGTATACAAAATATTCATTTAATTTAAATTAAATTATACTCTCATTTTATATATTCAAACAAAAGTTAATAACAAGTATTATAAATGAGTTTTATAGCTACCTATTCTGCAGGAGGCCCCAAGCCACCCCAGCTAACCCTTCATAACAGAATCAACCCTCAAGGTGTGTATAAATTTGTGAACTAAATGATGGCTTTTCTAAAATGGCCACAGTCCCCTAGCTAACCTTTGTAGAATAGAATCAACCCTCACCAAACGGCTTTTCTAAAACGAGCCTAAAACGTCGAAAGGCTCCTGTGTAGTACAATAAGATTGAGAACTTTTGTGGAGCCAATGGATAACTTCACTATGGAGATTGGAGTCGATATGAATTGACATATTGACATTTGTCTCAAATTTATGTATTTTAAGACATGTCAATACATTAATGAATAGTTGTTGATGACTTTTATAAATTATGCTATCTTATGGCTTCATAGCAAAACTAACTATGCCAAGAACATATCACAAATTCAACGAAAGAAAACAACGAAGCTGTATAAATAAGTAAAATCAAGAATTTGAGATGCAATAGTTTCAGGAAAAAAAGGCAACATATGTATGTACATTAGATATCCATTCCTTATCTTTTTCACTGTCTGCGCTTTCCCCAATTGGACACTCGGTCTAACGAACAAGGAAGATTTTACCAAAAGGTATCCAAAGAAACATAGCCATCAGCAAATATCACAAAAGATCACCTCTAACCAAGCGCTTATTTCACACTTTTGTACATGTTGTCAATCACGCTCTGCAGAAAACAAAGAAGTTATATTAGCAAAGATATATCCTACACACGACGTCAATTACATTCCCCAAGTAACAGTACAGGTATCAGCAAGATGGGCCCGACAAAATCGAAACATGAGCCTCTGAAAACTTGAAAACAAGTCTATAGCAGAAATAAATTGCACAAGGATATAGCTCTTCCTGAAAAATTGCAATGTATCGAGCATCAACTTGCCAGAGAACATGGATATTTTTTTAAAGATATTCACCGATCACAAATTTTTCATCAACAAAAGCAAGGGTCTAGAAAGGCCACCATAGTAATAACTACCAAGTATGATAAGAGTACTGAAACTATTTAGGAAGATAAGGATGCTATACAATATGGGAAGAAAAAGCATCTCATACTGACAAACCCACCTGATAGTACTTAAGTAACTGGGGTCTCTTCTTTTTGAATGTTGGCGTGATAAGATCACGTTCCAAGTCAAACGGGACAGGATCAAGGTGCACGGCTTTGATGAATTCAAAGCCCTTCAACTGCCAAAAGACGAAAGAATGTTAGGTCAGACAAACAGTGATGAGCGGCAATTTCTTGTACCAACTATAAACAAATACACTATTCCGACTGATGGAGACAATAGTCCGAAAAAGAAAGTAATATGGGCAAGAGAAGGAACCTTCTTTTCTTTTCCAACCCTCGATAGTTCTCCAAGAAAGTACTTTTTTACTTTGGGATTTTCGCATAGGACATTGAAGTCCCCGGACAGATCATTCTGTTGAGCCCATCTCTCAACTGCTTGCTGGTTTGGATTAATTACAGCAACAAGGCAAGACTCAAAGCTGTTCCCATATACCCATAGCTGCAAGAATTAAAAGTACAGTGAGAATCATACAACAGCAGATTTACCACCACAAGAAGTTAAACTCTCACTGGATAAATACTCCAAGTCTAAGATCCCTCGGAATGGCATTTATATCGAGAGGGAAGAGTGAACTGCATTGTTACTTGTTAATATGTAAACAAATATAACAAAATTGGTTTTCTGTGGACCTACACACTCACAATCATGTTAAAACTTCTCTAGAGCAATTTCGTTTGAAAATGTAGACAAAATGAACATTTTCATTTTTCTGCATGTTGTTATGTGCTTGATGTAAAAATAGATTCATTAACACGAATATGGCCAACTCAATACCGAGTCAATGTCAGGTACTAGGCCGTAGATATTCTCTAAATTCTCCACAGCAACGTACTCTCCTTGTGAGAGTTTGAAGATGTTTTTCTTACGGTCCACAATCTTCAAGCTCCCATCCGGTTGCCATTCACCAATATCCCCTAACAAAATAAAGTTTTATGAAAACCAGGATGAGTATTATAAAATAATGGACTTGAAAGAATTTGAATATGGTCACTGCCAAAGCAACCTGTATGAAACCAGCCATCAACGAAGACTTCTTTTGTAAGGTCTTCACGTTTGTAGTAGCCTGCAAATAAAGTGTCCCCCCTAACACATACTTCTCCACGAGGTGTACTTGAAAGGGCATCATATCCCATTTCAGGAACAGATTCTAAGCAAACATCCACATTCGGAACTGGGGGTCCCACAGTTCCCAGCATGTCTATCTCATCAGGTATCGTCACAAATGTACCGGCACAAGTTTCTGTTAAGCCTACACACACACACACACACACAAA